TTGATGATATGGCAATCAATTGTTTGTGTAGACATCAATTATTGGGGAAATTGTATGGAACACATTTTTGGGTGTGTATAATATTCACCATTGATTATAATTTTTACGTATTTAGTTATGATTTATTGTATTGTTAGTTATAACATATTGTGATATTAATTATAACATTATTTTGATTACGATCTAATTGGTTAAATCTCATACGATATTTTGTTATGACTTATTTTTTAGGACAAATTTGACTTTATCCCGTTATGATTTGTCTTGGAACACTTTATCCCCTTATAGTTCAAATATAGGCAAAAAAACTTCCTATCCCCTCCATTATTTATCTTTTTTTTTTTAATTTTTAAATTGCATGCTTCTATCTACACACCACCATTTCTCTTATTCCACACCATTTTTCAAATTTTTTTATTCTCATTTTTCCCATTTAGAAAATTACCAAAAAGGACACCGCAATTCTCATTTTTCAATTTTTTTTATTTATTTATTCTCATTTTACACACCGCCAACCCTCGCCCCGCCCATCCCAGTTACCTTCCCTAGCCATCTTCTTCCGCAGGTTCCTCCACTCCCCACTCCTCTCATTTTCCAAAAACCACCAGCCACCACCATCGTCTCCTCCGTGTCCCCTTCTGCCTTGGCTACCCACTCCCCAACTTCATCTCACCGCGTTTGCCCAGTGCCCTCTTTACAGCGCCGTCGCAGACCGATGAATAGAATAGATCATGATTGAGAGAGAGAGAGAAATCGCAGATTGTAGAAAGAGAGAGATCATTACCTCATTCCTCCAAAACATCCAACCATCGCCACCACCTCCGCAGCCCGACAAAGAGAGTAGATCGCGATATTGCGATCACGATTGAGAGAGTGAGAAATTGTAGGGGTGTGTGTGTAAGAGAGAGAGAGAGAGAGAGAAAGATCCAGGTAGGTAGAAGGTGGTAAAGAGAGGTGACGGCTAAGGGAGAAGGCTCCCGCAGCGGCAGTGGAAGTGGTCCGGGTTGAGGTTCGGGTTAGTAAAAAATGATGAAGATAATGGGATTTGAGGAATTTAATAGTGTGAATTGAGAAATTGTGTGGTGTGAATAAAGAAATGGTGTGGGATGAGAGAATTGATGGTGGGTAAATAGAGGCTCCCTACAAAACTAACTCCGTTAAAAGTAAGAGCAAAATTATCTAAATGCCCCTGTGATATATTCTTTTTTTTATTATTTTTTTTCTCTAATATATATATATAATTTCCTATCTCAATCACATATTTAACAAATAAAAATTATAGTAAACGAAACACCCGAATTTATTATCATAAGAATACCTTAATCTAATTTTTATTTTTTAACCCAATTTCTTATTTAATAACATTTTAAATTAAACATAAAATTACCATAAATTAAACCATAAGATTAACCTAAACACCTTAATTTATTACCATAAAATTAAATCATAAAATTATTTTAATCTAAATTTTTATTTTTATAAAATTTTAAAATAAACATATATATATATATATACATAAGAATCAATGAGGATCCCAAAAATAATGCTTTAGAATTTTTTTCTTTTTCTATTTCCGATTGTATTGGCATCTACGGGTCACGAACCGACCATAGAACCCTACTCAATAAGTGGAACGTAACGCATTAGTTGTCCACTCTCAGGTTGGGCAATAAGGATCGAAGAAGGACAATCACTCATTCTTAAAACCAACATTCGCATAAGAAGAAGAAAGAAGTTGTAGGTAATAAATCATAAATTAAAACTAAACACCCTAATTTATTAAAATTATTTTGTTTAATAACATTTTAAATTAAACATATAAATATATATTTAACAAATTAAATCACAAAATTACCTTAATCTACTATTTACTTTTTAACCCAATTTCTCATTTAATAAAATTTTAAATTAAATTAAATTAAATTTTTAATAAAAGATGACACTTAAGGTTAGGGTTTGGTTAGGATCAAGATTTAATTAGGGTTGGGATTAGGATTAGGGTTAGTTTTAGAGTTTGGTTGGGAATAATATCAGGGTAATATTGACATTTGATTTAATTTTTGATTTTGACTTAATGCTTTTTCTTTGCTCACTCTCAATTTGAGAGAGTTTGGCACACCTTCCGATATCTTTAACGGAAAAACAAACCATAAGACTTTAGTCTAAAATCGTAAGGAAGTTTTCTGCCTATATTTGAGTCATAGGAGGATAAAGTGTTCCGAGGCAAAACATAAGGGGATAAAATAAATTTTGCCCTAATTTTTATTTTTAGTTATAACTCTCGTAGTATTAAGTTATGTTATTTGTGATAATTAAACTTTTTTCAAGTTTTGATATCAGCTAGTAGTTATGTCTGAAATTGTTTCTTTGACATAAAAAATGAAAGCTTAAAAATAAATTGTTTTTATATTAAAATATTAAAAAAAATTCAATAATTGAAAAATCTCATTAAGTACTTTAATTTATGTATAAAAAAAATTAAAAATTTTGACACACGAATATATTATTTTTAAATTATCATTTTTCATGCTAGACAAACAATTTGAAACAGAGGTAGTATCATTTACATATTTTTATGCTATTAGACATTTTATGCATACATTTTATTTTGTTTATCTTTTTATATTTCTACTCCAACCTTGTTTTTTTTTGTTTTTTTTAAGGTATTTATCCAACTACTACTAACTTTATGAAATGCCATATTAACAACAAAAATGAAGGGAAGTAATTGTAAAGGTCAAATACATTTAGCTTAATCTTTAAAGGCTAGTTACATTTAGATAACATTTAGATAATGAATATGAGTTGAGGCAAAATGCCTAATCGCAAATATCTGAAGATTGATATAAAAACAATCATGGTAGCAAGGGGTAAATATGCTTGTGTCTATATCGAGATGGACCTCAAAATAGTGCATTGAAGTTGAGAAAGAGTAAGTTATACCAGATATTATAACTAATAGACATTACATTAGAGAGTTAGAGATGCTCAAAGGATTAGACAAATTGGATATTTAAGGCATTCTACCTGTTGAAATTGCAATTTATAGCCTCCTAACAACTTTGAAAAGCAATACGCATTATTTATTTATTTATTTAATTTTTTTTTTGTGTTTTTGTGTTTTTTTGTTTTTTTCAACTCTTTACTTATATCTAGTGTTGGAAGTTATTTCTCCCTACCAAATTCATTATCCATCCTTCCAATGATTAGTCCTTCAAAGGGCCTTGTTTGGTTTGTGTTTCTAAAAAAATTTTGAGAAAAATTCTCTACAAATAAGTTTTCAAAAGTAATCAAACCAAACAAATATTTCTAAAATTTTTTTCCAAAACTTGTTTGGTTTACAAATTTTCCAAACAAATCTCTCTCTCGTACACATCAAATCAATCACTTTTCCAAAACTCTCTCTCAAAATAATTTTTCAAAGCATCTTTTGAAAAAAAATCAAACCAAACAAATTTTCGTACTTTTTATCTCTCTCTCTCTCTCTCTCTCTCCTCTCTCTCTCTCTCTCTATATATATATATATATAAAAGAAAATGATAACATAAAAATATTATTAAAAAATGTCACATCAACAACTACATCAACAATAAGTAAAATAAAAAGTATTATTAGAGTACAAATTAATTAAACTAGTTAGGAAAAATGAATAGAGTAGTTTTTTTTGTGTATTTTTATTAGGCATTTTGCCCAACACAGTTGGAGTTACTCATAGTGGTGTGAAGTTGTTCTTTCAAATGATATGGAGAAAAATTTGAAACTTTTTGGTTATGTTAGTTTGGATGAATTTGAATTGTGTGTCTTATGCCAATTAAGATTATGAGAAAAGATCATATTAATTTTGTAATTTAACTAATTAGTGTGAACGAAAATTACCATGTAGTCCTATGTAGGGGATCTATTTCCCTTCTAATCCCAATTTATTTTTAATATATCAATAGGTCCACAGTTTTTTAAGTTTTATATCTAGAGGTCCCTTTTTTATTTTTGTATTTTTAAATGACTGTATTACCCTTTGTTTTGAGATCTATATATAGGTGAAAAATCAAATTTTTGCTCCGTTTCAAAAAAGGAAATCAAATCTTCGTCTCCGCGATCTCGATTTCTCTTCGTTGTGGCGATCTCATTGTGTTGTGTGGTCGATCTCATTGTGCTGTGAGGTGGATCTGGTTGTGCGATTTGGATCTCTGTGTACAGGCGATATCTGCGTACATTGTCTCTCTCTCTCTCTCTCTGGTGATAGATATATGTATGTGTATGTATGTATCTGTCGATACATAGATATACATATATATGTATATATATATATATGTCTGTGTGTGTATGTGGTTTGTATTTGTCGATATATATGTATGTATATATAGATAAACAAATTTGCGTGATATGTGGTTTGTGTTTGGCGAATTTTGTTTGTTTGTTTGATTTTGATTTTGTTGATTTTGTTTGTCGTATAGTGTAATGTGTTTTGAAGTTGTATTTTGGAATTGTGAATTCTGGTGTTTTGATACTGATATGTTGTAAGTGTATAATTTTGCAATTTGAAATTGTAAATTGTGCACTGTTGGTATTGATATGTTGTAACTGTATAATTTTGCAGTTTGAAATCTGTGAACAATTGTTTGTTGGTTTGTGATTTTGTAGTATGGAGCGGTGTTTCACGTTAATGTGCAAATACAGTAATTGTTGTGCTGCTATTAAGATTAGTGAGGGATGTAGTTATGATGAAGTTGTTGAGAAAATATGTGCGAAGTTCAAGGAGTTGAGTGTTGATAACTTTTGTTTGTTTTTCTCTGTTCCTGGATATTCTAATTGTATTGTTGAATGTGATGATGATTTGAGGAATATGCTGTCAATGGTAGGTGGTAGTGGTTGTCATGTTGTTGATGTTATTGTGGGGGATAAGAGAGTTGTGGAGGTTGATGATGGTAATTCTTGTAGGATTGATTATGTAACTTGTGAGAGTTCTTTTGTGAATGATTATGATGATGTTGATGGTTTGTTGCGTAGTTTTTATCCAGAACCACAGAGAGTTTTGTTGTCTGCTAGTTGGAAGGGGATTATACATAGTGTTGGTCAAGAATTTGAAGGTGGAGTGCCGGGGTTTCGCATTGCATTGGCTAAGTATGCAGTTGAGTGTGGTTTTGCAGTGAATTATTTGAAGAACGATGCAACAAGAGTAACCGCTGAATGTATGATGAAGTCGTCTACGGGTTGTAAATGGTTTGTGCATGGAAGGGTGTTGATGGATTCTGGTGTTTTTTTTTATAATGAAGTTGGATAATGTGCATACTTGTGGGGTTGTTGCTCGTAGATCTTGTAGCAAAATGGTTGGTTCTAGACTTGTGTGTGATATTGTGCAAAATGATATTAGTGATAATCCGTTGACTCGTCCTATTGAAGTTAAAAAAAAGTTGAAGAAGCAATATGGTATAGATGTTTCTTATCGGGTTACATGGTTAGGAGTTGACAAGGCAAGAGGTGGGTTGTTTGGTGATTTTGCAACTTCTTTTGACCAGCTTCGATGGTACCTTGAGACGGCTATGAGAACGAATCCGAGAAGTGTGTTTGAATTAGATGTGGATGAAAGTAGTGGGTGTTTTCGGAGGTTGTTTGTGGCATTTCATGGATGTTTGTATGGCTTTCAATTTTGTCGTCCGTTGTTGTTTGTTGATGGTACATTTTTGAAGGGGCGTTACAAGGGGCATTTGCTTGCAGCAACATCAAAGGATGGTAATCAAGGTATGTATTATTTGCAGTTAGTATTGGTTTAGTTTGTCAGTGTGTTATTGTATTGTGAGTCTGCTAATTTTTGCAATTTCATGTGGTTTTGTTTGCAGGTTTGTTTCCTTTGGCTTTTGCGATTGTTAACGCTGAAAATCAAGATAATTGGATGTGGTTCTTAAGTCAGTTGTTGAAGGCTGTTAGTTCAGGCCGGAGATAGACTTTTGTGTCGGACCGTCAACATGGATTGCTAGACGCTCTTTCAGTGGTTTTCCCCAATGCACATCATGCTTATTGCTTGAATCATTTGAAGAGAAATTTGATTGACAAATTGGTGGGACTTCGTACTAACTATAAGCTGTGTTTGATGAAAATATTAGTTAAATGTGCTTATGCGCCAACGGTTGCTTCTTTCCAACATTATATGGAGAAATTGAGGCGTATTGCTGGGAACGGTAGAGTTGATAGTATGTTGGATGGTTTGCAAAATGATAAGTGGGCCAATGCATTTTTTAGAGGGAAACGATATGGTGAGATGTCATCTAATGCTGCCGAGTCTTACAATAATTGGATTGGTGGGGCCCGTGAGTTGCCTATTACTTGTATGGTTGATATGATTAGGGTTCAAATCATGACTCAATTGTCGGATAGAAGAGCTGAATCTAGAATATGGACTACGAAATTGTGTCCAGTTATGGAAAAGAAGTTGGTGGACTCTTTGGAGCTAGCTAAGTCTTGGGATGTGATTGTTGCTAGTGATACTGTGCTTGAGGTTCATTCTTCTATTTCTTTTTATGTTGATATTGGTAGACAAACTTGTTCTTGCCATGAATGGCAATTGAATGGTTTTCCTTGTTGTCATGCTGTGCATGCTTTGCATAGTAGTGGTAGAGATGTGTATGGTTTTATTGATCCTTTTTTTCATGTAGATTGTTTTAGAGAATACAAGGAATCTGTTTATCCAGTGCCTTCAAGTGAGAGATTTGACTTTGATGGTGCCAGTAGTTCGGTTATCAAACCTCCTATAGCGAAGAAACAGCCCGGGCGGAACAAGAAGAAGAGGATACCTTCTAGGGGTGAGAATGTGAAGCAAATCAAGTGTGGGAGGTGCTTGAAATATGGAAATCACAATAAGAAGACGTGCAAGGCTGCTATTTGAGGCCACAATCTATTCTTTTGGATTTGTATTTGAATTTGAGGAATTATGAAAATAAAAAATGTGATACTTGGTATTATGGAAGTAATGAATAAAGTTGGTTGAATTGTTTTTTGTTTGTTGATGTGTTATTTACTTATTGAAGTTGTTTTGTAACAGTCTGGTTTTGTTTTTTATTTTTATGGAATGCAGAGAAGGTTGTTGAAAATTTCTTATTGAAACAGTATAATATGGAAATGCAGTTCATATTTTGCAGTTTTAAGAATTATTAGAAATAACCTGATGAAACCGCATAATTTTGCAGTTTTAAAAATTATTAGAAACAAGCTGATGAAACTGCAAAATTTTGCAGTTTGAAGAATTATTAGAAACAACCTTTACTGTATGAAAATATATGCAACCACAAACAAGTAGATAAACAATCAGAAGAAGAACCACAATAATAATAACAAGAAGAAGAGCAACAACAACATCAATCATTTTCACCATAACTATAATAACCAGAAAAAGATCATTCCCAAAAGTATATAAAGTACTTGTCACATGTTAAAAAAGAAAAATAAAAAAATAAAAAAAAGTACAAAGATATATTCCCTTAAATATTTGTATTGTCAAGAAGTTTGTTCATTGTTTCTATGGTTTGGTATGTTTTGTCAACATTTGGTAGTGCTCGAGTTTCCAGGATCGGTTCTCATTATTGAGGAATTGATTGATGATTTGTGCTCGAAATTTGACCCACTTAGTTAGACGAAGTTTTTTCTGCACAGGTTGCCAGTTGAGATATTGGTTGATAACATTGCAGACGGCGATTGCACAATCATTCCTGCAATGTTTGAGATGAAGTTAATTAGTTAGGTGAAATTGCAAAATTTAGCATATTGGAAGATTAGTTTATGGATTTTGTATCTGACGAGTGTGGGGTTTGTTGTGGGCATTCCTCAATTGATGCAATTTCTGTCTCGCACTCTTGAGATGATAACATGTTTCCCTGTTTGCTGAATAATGCTTTATTCCATCTCAGCTGATGTTGTTGCTACAAAATAGTTAGTGGGTGTTTTTGTTAGTTATAGTGATGAGTTGAGATGTTTGTAAAGGAATGGAACGAAGTATGAAATTTTATTTTAACTTACAATTTGCTTTGCAATTTCAAAGTGCTTGTTGTGGCAATCTTTTGCTGGTCTCAAAGAGTCATAGTGTCTCTATATTCCATCAGCATTGTCAAAGACCACAATTGTCCAATGATTGTCGTGGTTGATTGGGAAATGGATATATCTGTTTTTCATTGCTTCTGGAAAATGGCTGTCCATCAGTTTTTCTCTCAGTGCTTGATCTTGGTTTTGTAGTGGAGTCTGTAAGTTATATATATGTTTGAAATATGTTATAAAACTATGTAGTAATACATGTTGAGAAAGTAGAAAATTTTGCAGTTGTAAGGTATGTTAAGTTTTGCTTACATTGATGAGTGTTGAGAAAACGTAAGATCTTCCTGCATATGGATTGCTTGCAAAGACTAGATCGTTTTTCTCAAATTCTTCAATGGTTGGTTGGAGTGCCAATTGCTTTTCTGAGAAGGCATCAATGACCTGAAACATGTTATATATGAGAATGTGTTAGGTTTGCGGAATAGGTTATTGAATATGTACAGAAACTGTAAAATTGTGCAGTTGGAGACCTACATTCCCATATAAGGGTTCCCTGTTGGTCAATTTGCATATATCTGAAAAGTATACTCAGTTTTCATCTTCGCTGCCAGACCAGACACAAGCACTTGATTGTGTGTTGTTGATGAGTTGAATTTGCTCTTGGTCTTTTTTGGATAGGCTATGCCAAACCTTGTTTCTTTTGCGGCATGAAATGGCGAGTGGCTTGTTTGGGATTGATTCTTCCTGGAAATCATCATCACTTTCCAATACTTGAAGTTTTGTCTTCTTTTGATTGGCATGCTCTTTTGGGTTTGTTTCAGCAGCAACTGCTTTCTCTTGGCTAATATGTTCTTGCATCTTTTCTTTTTGCTGTTGTTTTGCTTCATGAGCACCCTCTTTTTTGTTATCATTCTTCTTCTCTTTTTCTTCATCGGTACCCTGTGTTGGTTTGGGTACATCAGCAGCAGTTTGTGTCTTGTTTCTTGCATCTTCTTTGGGTTTGGTCATTGGTTGGTATTCAAAATCTGGGTCATGTGCTTGTTTTCTTGATTTTTGTTTGATTCTCTTGACCATGGATCTTTGTTGGGGACTGCCAGTTTTTTTGGTGGACATTTCCTTCAATTGATCTTCTTTTTTACGCAATTCAGCCATGAATTTTTGTTCCATTTCTTGCATTTGTGCTCTCATGGCTGATATGAGCTTGTCCTTGTCGTCCTCTTTGGTTGGTGTTTGTGGTTGGTCATGACCTATAAAAATGTTGGATTGTGTTTTGGTTAGTTTAATGAAATTTTGCAGTATGCTTTAGTATTAGACAATAGTTTACCTTGTGCATGAAATATATCAGATTTCTCTTGCAGTTCTTCTTGTTAGTTTGTCAGTTCTTGTTCATTGACTTCTTCTTGTTGGTTTGTTTGTTGTTCTTCTTGTTCTTGTTGTTGGTCTTCTTCTTCATCAAGGTCTTCTTGTTGATCACCTTTTGTTTGTTGTCTTTCTTCTGCTTTGTCATTGTCTTGTTGTTCATCAGGTTCTTCTTCTTTTTCTTGTTATTGTTGTTGTTGTTGTTGTTGTTGTTGTTCTTCTTCTTCTTCTTCTTCAGTTTCTTCTTCATCAGTTTTTTCTTCATCAGTCACTTGATTTTTTTCATCATCACTCTTTTCTTCTTGTTCATCACTTTGTGGTTCTTCTTGTGGTTTTTGCTTTCTTTTCTTTTCTTTTTGTTGTTGTTCTTCTTGTTCTGATTGTGATTCTGATTCTGAATGATGTTCTTCTTCGAGAAAGTCATCCTCATCACTGTCTAGAAGTCTTCTTCTTTTTGTTGCTTTTGTTTTCTTTTTTTGCTTATTGTCCTTTTTGTGGTATTGTTTCTTTGTTGAAGAGTCTGTTGATGTGTTTTGATTGATATACAATAACTGTATTTCTTGTTCAGTTGGGGTTAAAGCACTTTGGTTAACCTGCATTGGAACAATGTGGCATATATCAGTAATACTGTAAATTTGGTCAGTTTCATAAGATGAGTTGTACTGTGAGTAATGTGGGTTAAGTGTCGAAATATGTTTTTTGAAACTGAAAAATGTTACAGTTTCATAACATGAGTGATGTTATAGAAGTGTGTGCTTTGAAATTGAAAATTTTTACAGTTTCATAATATGATTTGTACTACAATGAATATGAAAGGAGTGTTGAATAGATTTGTGCTATGATAGTATAGAAGAGTTTGAATACCTTTTCAAAGTGAGCAAGGCTGATGTGTTTCCACTTGGAGTACATTTTGCCAAGGTTCCATTTCATAAACCTTGGGAAGCTTTCTTTGTTGGATGGTCGGAGGAGTTTACTGTGCTCACAGTACCAGTACTGTCAAAAAAAAAAAAAAGTTAAAATATGTTAGATAGTTAGAAATAGGTGGATGTCTGATATTTTTGTGGGAAGTAGTTGAGTAATGTGTTTACCAAGAGTAACATGACGCATCCAGTGACATGTCTTGGGTTGTTGTTTGCATTTGCCATTGAATTCATCAGTGTGTCTTTTATTGCCTCAACCCAATTGTACTTTTTGATGTTGTTGAGATTGTCAACATAGTTGAGGAAACTCCAACTGAGTGTATGGCCTGTTGTGGGCATGAGAAGTTTCAAGCACAAGTATAGGGTGATTACCCTTGCAAGATCTTGACGATCATTGGTTAATTTTCCTTTTTTTGTTTGTTGAAACATTTTGGTCAAAGACTTGCCATCCAATCTCTTGACTGATTTGCATCTTCGTTTGTAAAATGGAAGCTCAAAATCCTTTGATCTTGCATAGGATTTGGTGGTGATGTTGTCTTCTCCACAGTCGATACCAAAAATGAGCTTGACATCCCTGCTTCTGAGTTTCATTTCCTTTTTGCCAAGTACAAATGATCTTTTTCTTTTGTTGTAGAGTGTTGTCATTTCTGCTACAATGGAATTGTAGCATTTGCACCAAGAGGCCTTCAGTTGTGTTGAGGAGAGAGCATTTATAAGGGGCCAAAAAGGGGGTTTTGCAGCTCTGTCTGTTAGGCTTTTGTGAATTTGACCCCCTTCAACAGTTTGATTACCGTTCCGATGTTAGAACGATAATTAAATTGTTGGACTCTCTTTGCAGGGACTGCTGCTTTTTTTTCTTTTGATGCCTTGGTTTTTGTTTTGGGAGTTGATTGGCTTTCTTGGAGCTTTCTTTTTTTGGTTGGAGGAGCTTCTTGGTTTTTTGTTGGCTTTCTTTTGTTTGATTTTGTTGTGGTTGGAGGTGTGGTTGGTGTTTGTTGGGTGGGTGGGGTCTGTGGTGTAGTTCTTGGGCTTTTTCTTGTAGGTGATGTGGTTGTTTTGTGGGTTTTTTGGTGGGGTCTGTTGGGTTTGGTTGTTTTTGGGTGTGGTGGTTTGGTTTTTTGTAAATGGGGAGATGGTGGTGGCATTTTAGTGGATACAGGAGATGGACATTCAAAAGGGGAGATGGTTAAATCCCTGATTGGATTTGTGGGCATATGGGTTTGTTTCTTCCAATATCTTCCAACAGTTATTTCTGAAAAAATGAAAGTGACAGCAGGGTATGAGTAATATAGTGACAAAACTGTATAATTTTGAAGTTTTATATGCAGTTTAATATGAAGTTATATGTATTTTCTTGGTAACAGTTACGAAACTGTATAATTTGACAGTTTGATTTGCACTTTATAATAAGTTAGTTATTTGTTTTGAGTAGTGGTTAAACTGTGTAATTTTGCAGTTTCATTTGCAGTTTGAATAAATTTAGATATGTTACTTGTATAGTGATGAAATGAAACACTATGATGTTGCAGTTTTTATAAGGAAACAGTATGAACAATAGGAACAACCCATTGTATTTTGTAAAAAGCAACAATAACAACAAGAAGATTAAAAATTCAAAAATAAGAATAAGAGAAGCCAATATTGAACAACAAGAATAAGAATAAGGTATTGAATGTGTAAAAACAGAGATTTATGTGTAAAAACAGCGTTTAGAATGTTGAAAAACAGGGGACTATATATAAAAGAGGGTTTATACATTTGGAAGTATGTAAAATGTGTATATACGAAATATGAAAGAATGATGTACAAATGTGAATGAAAAATAATGAATAGGTGAAGAGAGATGTTACTTTTTTTTCCCATTTTTGTGAATCGGAAGTCAGGAACTATGAAATCTCTTCAGAGTGGTGATGGTTCTTCGTGTTGTTGAGAGTCGCTGATTGGAGAATATGAACGGCTTGATGTTGTGTTGAAGATGAACGGTTTGGTTTTGTGGTTAGGGTAGGGTTTCAGAGGGAATGGAGTCGAACGGAGGAGAGATGGAGGATTGAGAATGCGATTTCGAGCGGCGGAGATGTAACAGTGTACTGATCAGACTGAGATGATTGTGGGTGATGAAGATGAATGGTTACGTTTTCTGGTTAGGGTTAGGGTTTCAGAGGGGATGGAGTTGAACGGAAGAGAGATGGAGGACTGAGGAGTCGATTTCGAGCGGCGGAGACGTGACAGTGTACTGATCGGACTGAGATGATGGGGACGTGGGAGATGGTTGCGCGCGTGTAAATTGGATGATATATTGTGGATATTTTCGTCTTATTGTTAATTTGAGGACTTAATGGAGTATTAAATTTGTTTTTGGTCTAAATGGGGTATGATATGTTGGGCTTGAACCTTTGGGTCAGACTCCCTTTTTCATTTTGTATCTCATCTCCTTTTGGGATTCAATAGCCCCGTATGGGAGACACCATGTCCAAAGGAACTAGGAGTACAAATCTTAATTTTTTTAGCCAAACATCAAATTATATATTTTGTTGAATTATTAATCTAATTCCAAAACCATCTCAATCAAAACAAACATGACCTTTGTATTGTCCATTCCTCTACTTCACTAACCACTACTAATTATATATCATGTAACAAAACAAAACAATACAAAAAAATATTTGCGTCATTATAGGTCAGGCGGTATTGATCCTATGTAATGAAAGTTCATGCAACTAGTTTAACAAAAATATTAAGGTAAACTTGTGGAGCTTGACGTTTATAAAATAAAATAAAATAATTAGTGTAATTTACTTAAGATATTATGTACTAAAAAAGGTCAGTTAAATGTTTAGAATTTGAATTTATTGCACAAATTTAAATTTAATATAATATAGGCTATACTTATAATAAATCTAATCTTCATATAAGCCTGATTTATATATTTTAAATTCTTGACATATTTTCAAATAAAAAAAATATTGACATATTTTAATATATATATATATATATATATTTGAGTACATACTGCTTGTGATAGTGTAAGGATTTATTTTCTTATATGTTTCATAATGAGTATGTATTAGATGATATAATTATGACACAGGTGCCAACCGTAATATGCAAATGAAAAAAACAAAAAACAAAACAAAACAAAACAAAATCAATACAAATTCTAAATAATAATAAAAAGTACTAATAATATTTCACAGATAAATTTTGTTACTATCAATAATACGGATAATACTTTATCACTCCCCAAATATACTATTTGTATTATTTTAATTATATCAATTAAGTCTATCATGTATGAAATTTGGATTTAAATCATCTCCATCACTAAAGTAGTCTAAAATGGCTTTCCCCAAGAATTCAAAAAATTACCAAAAATAAAAAAAAAAAAAAAAATCTAAGGTTGATTTGGCGGAAATCAGGACATTTTGGTTAAGGAAACATTGAGATCTCACTAATTGTTATCCTTACATTTTATCTCGCTGATGTGTTAATTTGTTTTGCCAAAAATATCTATGTTTTGGTTTGCAAATATGGACAAAAAGGTCTAATCAACCATTTCATCACAAAATTTACATTAACAACCAGTTTAGAGAGAATAACTTGTTTGAATAAGTAAAGAGGAGACAAATAAGATAAAATGGGAAGAAGTGGAAAGAAGCTCACTTCTTTTATAATTTTCATTTTGAATCTTTTCAAAAAGTAAAGACATTGGAAGAGAAAAACACCAAATAATTACTATTTTCTATTATGAAGTGGATTTTTCAGTCTATTAGGATTGGAAGGTGTTGTTTGAACCCGTGGGATCTATTATGAGTCATATTTTAATAATTCGAACCATTCATTTTGCCAAACACTTTGTGTATATCAATCACAAAAAAAATTACATCAAACCAATATTCATAACCTATTCAATTTATCACGTTTGTCACTAAAATAGACTATTTATTTTTTTGGTGACAAACACGATGAATTGAATATGTTACGATTATCGGATGAGAGATTTACCAATAAATACCAAAATGTAAACTTATGAACCAATTGGTCCCATTTTTATTCTAGTAAACCGTTTAGTCCTGGAAAATTCTAAGAGACGTAATTACCCTCATTTAGACACCACTAATATCTCTCAGCATTCTCTCTCTCTCTCACATGGAGACCCAACCACACACATATCTTCTCTCTCTAGCAGATACAAGACACCATGCACACAAAACACCATTAACACACACACCATTAACACACACACTCAGCCCCAGCAACCACACTCATACACACCATACACACAACACACACACACACACAGCACACACCACACACACAACACACACCAAACACAGCACCCACACTGATACACACGCGCACACACACACACACTAATGGCTTTAACACGCGCGCGCACACACACACACACACACTGACGGCTTTAACACACACACACACACACACACATTCCTCTCCGCCGAGCACCGCCATGGCGGCGTTCCGGCCACCATCTCTGCCACCAAACACCCCAAAGCCCATACGTCCGCAGCCGCCTCCTGCTGTCCGGCCACCACTGTCTCCGGCGGCATATACATCGGCGTACCTTTATCCTTACATTTTATCTCGCTGATGTGTTAATTTGTTTTGCCAAAAATATCTATGTTTTGGTTTGCAAATATGGACAAAAAGGTCTAATCAACCATTTAATCACAAAATTTACATTAACAACCAGTTTAGAGAGAATAACTTGTTTGAATAAGAAAAGAGGAGACAAATAAGATAAAATGGGAAGAAGTGGAAAGAAGCTCACTTCTTTTATAATTTTCATTTTGAATCTTTTCAAAAAGTAAAGACATTGGAAGAGAAAAACACCAAATAATTACTATTTTCTATAACGAAGTGGATTTTTCAGTCCATTAGGATTGGAGGGCGTTGTTTGAGCCCGTGGGATCTATTATGAGTCATATTTTGATAATTCGAACCATTCATTTTGTCAAACACTTTGTGTATATCAATCACAAAAAAAAATTAGATCAAACCAAGATTCATAACCTATTCAATTTATCACGTTTGTCACTAAAATAGACTATTTAATTTTTTTGGTGACAAATACGATAAATTGAATAGGTTACGATTATCGGATCGACTTTTTTTTTTTTTAGATTGATATACACGACGTAACCGACAAAATAAACGATTCAAATCATTAAAACGGGACTATTGTGAGTCCCACGAGCTTGAATATCCTCCAGTCCAGATCAAGGACTAGAGGGGCTCCAGGTCCTTTTTATAATACTAAAATTGCTCTTTTAAATATATATATATATATAAATTGAAATCTATAAAAGTTATTTTGATAATATAGCATGAAACAAATCCTTTTTAAAAAAAAAAAAATCTTTTATGTAATGTAATCAAATAAGATAGGGGAGAAATTATTATATTTTCTTTTCTTTTCTATATATTTATCCTAACGAGAGGAACAAAAATCATAATCTTTTTTTAACATATATTTTTTTTTTTTTTTAATATATCTTTTCTCTCCTAAAAGTTTCCAAACAGAAGAACTCAAAATTAAAATCTGTTCAAAGAAAGACAGTTGGCATATATCAAAGAATAGTAAGTTTTGCCAAATGGTAAGAATATATATATACATATATACATAGACAAAAACAAAAAGAGACAAAAATAAGAAAAATCATAATCATATCTTCTCTGTTAATTAGAGAGAAGTCTTGAACATATCAAGTAAGCAATCTCTGTACCCTCCAATTTTAGCTATAAGTGATCCATTAGAGATTTTCACTGCCCATTTTGCCAGCCTTGACCTTCAAAACTCAAACACAACCATTCAAAAATTAAAAAAAGACAACAAACAAAAAAAGATTATAAATGTTGACTTTGTTAATTCCTCTTACCATATCTCACTCTTTCTTTCTTAAACATACATGCAACCCACCTCCTACCAACAATAACACACAAAAACACAAAAAACTAGCCAAATTTGAAGATTGTCAAACTCACAAAAACAAAAACAAAAACAATTCCTCAGAATTTTCATTATCTGTTCTTCATTTTGAAGGATAGTATCAAGAAGAACAAGCATCCAGTGCACAAGTATGATCATCAAAAGCAATGCACCGCTCTCACCGGTGGAAGATAGAACAACCTTAAGAAGTCTGGCATCCAAATCTATCAGAATTGAGCCCGTAGAGAAGCAGCTACCTTCAGGCAAGTCCAGATTTATTTTATTTTATTTTATTTTTTATGAATTGGGGTTTGAAACTTCTTTATAAAAGGGAAACATAGGATGTGAAATTGGTTAAAAACTAGTTTGCTTGAACATATTTTCAGGAAATTATTTTCATTTTCTTTTATTGGGTTTTACTAATTTTATATGGGGTTTTTGTTGCAGATATGGATCTGATGAAGGAAAGGTTTGCCAAGTTGCTTCTGGGAGAGGATATGTCTGGTGGGGGAAAGGGTGTTTCATCAGCTTTGGCACTCTCCAATGCCATCACAAACCTTGCAGGTATTGAAAAGTCATGGGTTCAAACCTTAAAAGAGTGAATCAATGGTTAAAAGTATCATTTTCCGTCCTCTATTGAGGCTGCCTTCAAGGCCTAGGCCCAATAATTACCTCGTATATATGAGACAAAACCTATATATAGCCTCATGAGTGAAAAGAAAAAACAAACTTAATCTCCTCCATTACAACTTTGTCAATGGATAGTTTGAGGAGTTGGAGCTAACATCAATGGAAACTAAACCCCCATTCTGGTTTTGCATAGTTCTAGATTGAATTGGTTGTTTATTAATTTCTGCAATTTTAGATCATGATTCTTTCTTTTCTTTTCAAGAAAATAGAAAATAATGATTTTCTTGAATTGGATAGATCAAATGACATAGATTACCATTAATTGCATACTGTTCTTCGACTTTCTTTAATATTTTATTTCTCTTCCATAAACAACCAGCCTCTGTTTTTGGCGAACAAAAGCGGTTAGAGCCTATGGCACCAGAGAGGAAAGCAAGGTGGAGAAAAGAAATTAACTGGCTCTTATCAGTGACTGATCACATTGTGGAATTTGCTCCTTCCAAACAAGTTTCAAAAGATGGAACTAACATGGAGGTTCTCTCTCTCTCTCTCTCTCTCTCTCATACATACATACTATTATGAATTTACAAGAACTTACGATCTTTTATTCATCAGATAATGACAACAAGGCAACGGACTGATCTCCACATGAACATCCCCGCCCTGCGCAAGCTTGATGCAATGCTTATGGTAAGAATGCCTAATAATCTGAATATTTTCAAGTCATAAAAATAAATAAAACTTCATGTTCTATTCACAATGGTGGATTTTGTTTACACTTGAACAGGACTGCCTTGATAACTTCAAAGACCAGAATGAATTCTGGTATGTTTCAAAAGACGATGGATCAGAGGCGGGGAAAAACAAGAGGGATGATGATAAATGGTGGATACCGACACCTAAAGTTCCCCAAAACGGTTTATCTGATACCACGAGGAAATGGATTCAATTCCAGAAGGACTCTGTGAACCAAGTACTAAAAGCTGCTATGGCCATTAATGCTCAAGTTATAACAGAAATGGCGATCCCTGACAACTACATTGACTCTCTCCCCAAGGTAAAAGAAAAGAACGAAGAAGAACAAATGATAGAATTAATTCCATTTGAATTTTTACACAAAGAGTAGCAAGTACATCGACTGATTCTTATTCTTATTATTTTTTATAGAATGGGCGGGCTAGCCTTGGGGACTCGATCTATAGAAGTATCACAGTTGACGACTACTTTGATCCTGGTCATTTTCTTTCAATGATGAACCTATCATCGGAGCATAAAATTCTTGACCTAAAGAACAGGATTGAGGCATCGGTTGTGATATGGAAGAGGAAAATGAATGCCAAAGATGGAAAGTCTGCTTGGGCTTCAGCCGTGAGCTTGGAGAAGAGAGAACTATTTGAAGAGAGAGCACAAACCGTCTTACTAATTATTAAACATCAGTTTCCTGGAATTCCTCAATCTGCACTAGACATCAGCAAAATCCAATACAACAGGGTAGGTCAAAGCTAGCTTTTATTTCCAATTCTATCCTATGATGTTCGTTAGTGCTCCCATAGACACCAAGGATTCACTAATCTTCTCACAAATTTACCTTGAAGTTCGCTTTTGGAAGGTTCTCCCAAATTTGTATGATGTACAAGCATGTTTTGATTCGTATTTTTTTTTTTTTTTTTTCATTTCTCTTACCCTAATTAATAAATTTTCTCTTCTTGGATCGATAGGATATTGGACAAGCGGTTCTGGAGAGCTATTCACGAATATTAGAAAGTTTGGCCTTCACAGTCATGTCAAGAATAGAAGATGTTCTCCATGCCGATTCTCTTGCACGAAGTCCATCACTCGGAGAAGAAAAAAAGCACCCTCTAAGAGATTCCACGACAGTTATGAGATCGGGTAAGTTTCCAAATGTAGAAGAGGAGATAGAGGAGCTGAACTTGACAGAGACACCCACTTCAACAACTCTATCAGAGTTCATGGGTTGGACTTTAAATGCAACAGAGACTGAAATGAAGAAAGATTCATCAGATGATTTGGTCAAAGAAAACAATGCAAAGCCCCCAAACAAACTGCTTAGCGTTATGACCAGCAGCAAATTTTCCTACATTGAGAAGCTCGAGACCTTGGGTGGTTTAAGAAGTCCAACATCGCACCAATGATGAAAATTAGTGTGGACACAAAAAAGAAAATACTATTTTCTTCTGAGAAACTGATCAAGCAGTTCTGCCCACAAACATAGTGATTATATTAAAGAAACCGAGACTATAGAGAGGGGATGATAAATCACTACTTTGTAGTGAAATGTCATTTGTTGGCATCAAGATGGGAAGAGTGTTTACCAATACATATCCTAACAGACTTTGGCCTCACAGAGACAACACCAAGAGAAGTTCAGGAGCGGAATCAGAAATTTTCTTTTGGGAAGAGCCGAGAAATGTTGAAACGCTTGTTTTGAACAAAAATTAACAAATGAAATAATTTATTGCGGATGAAAAACTTGTTGTATCAAAAAGGAAATTAGCTGCAACTGAAATACTTTTCATTGATGTTAGAGGTTTAAAAAGTTACATGTATATAATATAGGACTTGTTAAGAAAGAATGTAGGCAATGTAAGATCATAAAGAAATATTGGAGATCCCAAAGTCATATGTCATATATACATAGATTGTAATGACAGATAAATAATATCTGTTTGGTAAGAGAATACAAAGAAAAAAAGAAAAAGAAAAAGAAAAAGAAAAAGAAAAAGAAACTATTGGTTTATTTTTTGGAGTTCTAATATGTTTTAGATTGAAAAAAGTACATTTTATCTTCCATTTGGTTAAAGATTTTTCAAGAGGCAACATGCTAATTTATACCTGCATTTTAAAGTAAAAAATTCTAAGATTTTAATTTAATTTTTTTTTTTTAATTTTATTTTGAAGGGGTATGCTTGAGCCTTCGACATTATTTGGTCATTAAAGTTATAAACAAAATATACCCCAAAATAAAACTTTACGAATAATCGTCATCTGTAGGCAATGTAAGATCATAATGAAATATATTGGAGTTCCCAAAGTCATATGTCATATATACATAGATTGTAATGACAGTTAAATAATATGTCTGGTTGGTAAGACAAAAATTATTTGCATAATTAACAGGAAAAAAAATGATACCAAAAAAAAAAATAGAAAATGAAAAAGAAACTAATGATTTATGTTTGGAGTTCTAATGTTTTAGATTGAAAAAAGTACATTTTATCTTCCATTTGGTTAAGGATTTTTCAAGGGGCAACAACATGCTAATTTATACAAGCATTTCAAAGCTAAAAATTATAAGATTTAATTTATTTTTTATTTTTTATTCTTTATTTTGAAGGCGTATGCTTGAGCCTTCAACATTATTTGGTCATTAAAGTTACAAACAAAATAAAACTTAGTGAATAAACATCATCACAGATGACCAAAATATCAAATTCGAAGAGCAATCCATAAAGTCAGAAAGCAATTCCCCAATCAGAATCAAAGCAAGTATTTTCAAATAATTAATAGAGGTCATTAGCTAGACGGTTGGCATACTTACATTTGTAAAAATGATACACCAAAACACAATAGAAAGGTTGAAGAAGAACATAGAGGTTACAGGAGAATTAGATTTTGCCACGCGGTCCAAGCTTGGGTGGAAGTTGGGGACCCTTTTTAATAGGTAAGAGATCTGGCGAGGCAGTGGTGCTGACATAAGCAAGGGTAGAACCTCCTCCCAATATCAAGAATTTGAGCAATAATCCTCTCTTTGTGAAAGGAGCTGCAAATGTCTCGAAGAATTTACTCTGCAATTCCACACAAATTTTGGGATATTAAAAACCTCATTCATGTTCACCCAACATTTAAAAAAGTATAGCAAGTCTTTGAAAACTGAAATTTCAAATACAAGAGCAATATCACAACTACAAAATGAACTCCACAAAAGTAAGCTAGCCTTCTGTTGGGACTATGAGACACCAGAAATCAATCACACACAATAACACAAGAATATTTACGTGGTTCGGCAATTGCCTACGTCTACAGAGAGCTATCCACTATAGAATTTTCCCAGAGGGAGTTTACACACTCACACCTCACTTACACACTATAGCACTCTCACTTCTCACAATCTCTCATATTACACACACTGTAATCTCTTATTCCAAACCCCTCCTCCTCACCTCAATTTATACACAATTGAGGGAGGCTCTTATTGGTTGCCACCAACCCCTTCCACTAGCTAATGGGGTTGGTAGAGTGGAAGAGTGGGAGAGCCACTATTCATAGTGGTTTCTCCATTTGAATGGGCAGTGGACACTAACAATTCTCTCCCTTCACGCCCATATGGAGAATTGACTTCTCATCTGAAGTCTATGCCGACAATGTCTCTGCAGATTTCGAGTTTGTCTCTCGAGACCGCCTTTGTAAGTATGTCAGCTGGATTCTTATCTGTATGGATCTTGATCAATTCCAATAACTGCTTTTCCATCACTTTGTGTATCTAATGATACCGAATATCAATGTGCTTTGTGCGAGAATGGTACATCGAATTTTTGCTCAGGTCTATGGTACTCTGGCTATCACAATGTACCGTGAACTTCTCTTGCTTGAATCCTAACTCTTGGAGAAACCGCTGCAACCGCAACATCTCTTTCCCAGCTTCCGCTGCGGCAATATATTCTGCCTCGGTTGTGGATAAAGCAACACACTTTTGCAACTTGGACTGCCAAGACACAGCTTCCCCTGCGAAAGTGAACAGAAATCCTGATGTAGATTTTCTACCATCAAGATCTCCCGTCATATCGGAATCCGTATAGCCTTCCAAGACTGGTTTAGCATCTCTAAAGCACAAACACATTTTTGTCATACCCTTGAGGTATCTCAGAATCCACTTGATTGTTTCCCAATGCTCTTTTCCTGGATTGGAAAGGAATCTGCTTACTACTGTAACAGCATGAGCAATATCTGGTCGAGTAGACACCATTGCATACATCAAATTCCCTACGGCGGATGAGTAGGGAATAGCCTCAATCTCTTCTCTTTCTTTAGTAGATGAGGGACAAGAACTCTTGCTCAGCTTGAAATGATTAGCCAGCGGGGTATTGACTGGCTTGGAATCTTTCATATTAAACTTTGTAATCACACGTTCAATGTACTTCTCCTGTGACAACCATAATTTCTTGGCTTTCCTGTCACACACAATTTGCATGCCCAACATTTGCAGTGCAGGGCCTAGGTCCTTCATGTCAAAGGACTGTGATAACTCCTTCTTCAGTGATCTGATTGCTGTGGCATCCTGTCCAACAATTAGCATGTCATCAACATAGACCATGAGTATGATGAAGTTTCCATCGGGAAATTTCCTGACATAGACACACTGATCTGCAGCAGTTTTCTTGTACTCATGACCCACCATGAATGAGTCAAACTTTTCGTACCACTGTCTCGACGCTTGTTTGAGGCCGTAAAGACTCTTCTTCAATCTGCAGACTAAGTTTTCTTTCCTTTTTACTTCAAAACCTTCTAGCTGTTCCATGTAAATTTCTTCCTTCAGATCACCATGGAGAAATGTCGTCTTCACATCCATCTGTTCAGGTTCCAAATTCAAGCTGGCCGCTAGTCCCAAAACTACTCTAATGGATGTCATTTTCACAACTGGCGAGAAGATTTCATCAAAATCAATACCTTTCTTCTGCCTGAAACCTTTGACAACCAATCGAGCCTTATACTTGACTATCTTTCCGCTATCATCTTTCTTCAACTTGAACACCCATTTGTTCTGCAATGGTTTTCGACCCTGGGAAAGTTTTACCAAATCATAAGTCTGATTCTTCTGCAAGGACTGCATCTCTTCTTGCATAACTTGATGCCAGCTACGCTTCTCCTTATGATTCTGAGCTTCTTGAAAACTTTTTGGCTCCCCCTCATCAGTAAACAAAATATAATCAGAAGTAGGGTATTTTGATGACGGCTTAGACTCTCTTGTTGATCTTTGCAACTGTGGACCAACAATCTCTGGCGGAGGGGGTTGTGGCTCCCCCTGCTTCACACCTTCTTCTTCTAGATCTTCTTCTTCTGGCAATTCATCCTGCAACTCTACATCATTGGTTGGATGTTGCGGTAGCTCTTCTTCATCAGTGGCATGCTGTGATGGTGCAGGATTGGGAACAATTTCTAAAACATCATTAACTTTGGGTTTAACTGGTTACCCAAAGTCTTCTAAGGTCAGGCCTTCTTGAAATACCACATCTCAACTTCGAATGACCTTTTTGTTTTTCGGATCCCGTAATCTGTATCCAAATTCTTCATCTCCATAGCCAATAAAGATGCATGGAGTAGCTTTATTATCCAGCTTCTGTCTGTGCTCTTTGGATAGATGTACAAATGCTTTGCACCCAAAAACTCTCAAGTGAAGAAATCTCCCTTCCAGACCATACTCTCTCTGGAATTTCAAAATTCAGTGGAACTGATGGCGATCTGTTGATCATATAGCAAGCAACACGAACTGCTTCTCCCCAAAATGGCTTTGGCAGCTTTGCCATTTTGAGCATCCATCTAACCTTTTCCACAATGGTCCGGTTCATTCTTTCAGCTACACCATTGTGTTGTTGGGTTCCAGGAACAGTCTTCTCATGTCGAATGTCGCGAGTAGCACAGTAGGCTTCAAACTCCTTTGACGTGTACTCGCCTCCATTGTCTGTTCGAAGACACTTTAGCTTCTTTCTGGTCTCTCTTTCCACCATAGCATGAAATGTTTGAAAATGCTAGAACACTTCAGCTATGGTTCTTAGGACATAAACCCATATTTTCCGTGATGCGTCATCAATAAATGTCAGGAAGTATTTTCTACCACCCAAAGATTCCACTTCTATGGGACCGTATACATCAGAGTATACTCTGCTCAACAACTCTGATTGTCTTCTGGATGATGAATGAAAAACGACTCTATGTTGCTTCCCAAACAAGCTGTTGTCACAAGGGTTCAATTTCGCACCTTTGGCAAAGGAAATAAGCGACTTCTTTGTCAGAATCTGCAACCCTTTCTCACTCATGTGACCCAGCCTTTTGGGCCATAAATTTGGTGATGCCTCATCTTCTGCTGCATTAAGGCTATCTGAATGCACATCCACATGAGTCTTGTACAACGTGCCACTTGTCTGTCCTCTGGCTACCAGAGATCCATTTTTCAACTTCCATATGCCTTTGCCGAAGTAGTTCTCATAGCCTTGTCAATCTAAGGCTATCCTTGAGATAAGATTCAGGCGTAAATCAGGGAACATGCCTGACATCTTTCATCACCATCGTGCACCCAACTTTGGTTTGGATACGAACATCATCGATTCCTACAATCTTTGAAAAACTGGAGTTGCCCATCTTCACTGTACCAAAATCTCCAACTTGGTACGTACTGAAAAACTCCTTCTGGGGGTGTGGCGTGGTAGGAAGCTGTTGTATCTACCACCCACTCGGTGTCGTTGTCTAACATATGGAGGCATTCTTCTTCTTTAACAGAGAATAATGCAATATCCTCTGAGACATTAACTGTAGTGTTCTCATCTTTAGTCTTTGGCTGTCTATTGCCTTGTTTTTGTTCTCCCTTCAAGGCATAGCAATATTTCTTTATGTGACCCTCTTGGCCACAATGGTAACAATTGAACTTCGGCCGGCTCGTGCCTTCTTTGGATTTCTTTTTGTCTTGAAATCTTCTTCTGCTGCGTCCTCTACTTTTGCTTCTTCCTCTGTCTCTACCTTTACCTTTATTTTCTGTGACGAGGGCATGGGATTGATCTCCACACAAGTCTTTCCGCCTTGTCTCTTCATTATACATGGCGTTTGTGACCATGCTCATGGTCAGCTTCCCTTTTGGTGCAGAGTTGCTGAGAGAAACCACCAATGTCTCCCAACTATCCGGTAAAGAACTGAGCAGTAGGACGGCTTGCATAGAGAAACCACTAACGTCTCCCAGCTATCCGGTAAAGAACTGAGCAGTAGAACGGCTTGCATTTCATCGTCTAAGGGCATCTTGACGGTTGTAAGCTGATTCACCAGACTTCTGAATTCACTGGTGTGCTCGGTGACAAACCTACCATTCTTCAATTTCAAATTGACAAGCCTTCTCATCACCAAGGCTTTGTTCCGAGCGGTCTTTGACCGGTACATGTCGTCTAACATTGTCCATAGAGAATAGGCATCTATTTTCTCGGCAACATGATGGTACACACCGTGGTTTATCCATTGTCTGATACAACCGATAGTCTTGTGGTTTATCTTTATCCAGTCATCATTCTTCACTGCTTCTGTTTTAACCCCTTTTATAAAAAAATCAAACAAGTCTTTGTAATATAGGGTGTCTTCCATCCGTGACTTCCAAATTGCATAATTAGAAGGAGTCAACTTGAACATAGATCCCGAAGTCGACGTTGATTCCTCCATTAACACTTGTCTATACAGAAAATGATCTTTGTTTGAAAAATAAACTTTGCTGTTGAGTCCGGACTAGTCAAATTAGCCAGAAAAGCACTTCGGATTGTCCAAATACAAACTGAAAATTTTTGAAATAGGATTTGCAAAATTTGACAGTACAGATGTGTCCGGAATACTCCAAATAGTTGGAAAGCACTACTGGATTGTCAAAAACGGACTTAAAATGACTCAGATCGAGCCAAAATAGTTTTGACGGTTCTGATTTACAAAATCGGATGAGGCTGAGAAGCACCAGATGATTTCTCCGGTTCAGCGTGGTCAACAGCTCAGTAGCTAGGTCAACAGCTGGTCAATGAGGCGCGGCTCTGGCGCGGTGACTCGGCTCCAGCTCGGCTTGTCGGCTCGGTCAATGGCTCAATCAACTCTAACACATGGGCGATGACGTGTTCTGACACGTGGTGCTGACGTGTGCTGAGGTGGCGTTGATGTGGCTGCCACATGGCTCGTCTTCTACCTTCAGACACGTGTGAGCCGTGTGTTGAGAGTGAGCAGACGCGCCGACTAGTTCAACGGCGCGTGGTGAGACTAGGAGTCATGCACTTTTTTTGGGGGGCGCGTGTGGATGCGTGGCAAGGATTCTGGAGCTCTGTTTTGCACTTTTAGACTCTTCTTGACGAGACCTTGCTCCTGGTATACTCAAAACCTGATTTTGAGCAACTTGATTTCTAATTGTTTCGAAAAAACGCACTCTGTTTTTCCGAAACGCAACCGATTTGGCTATGATACAACTTGTTGGGACTGTGAGACAACAGAAATCAATCACACACAATAACACAAGAATATTTACGTGGTTCAGCAATTGCCTACATCCACGAAAAGCTATCCGCTATAGAATTTTCCTGGAGGGAGTTTACACACTCACACCTCACTTACACACTATAGCACTCTCACTTCTCACAATCTCTCAGATTACACACACTGTAATCTCTTATCTTATTGGTTGCCACCAACCCCTTCCACTAGCTAATGGGGTTGGTGGAGTGGAAGAGTGGGAGAGCCACTATCCATAGTGGTTTCTTCATTTGAATGGGCAGTGGACACTAACACCTTCTCCGAATTCATTTTATGCTATGTTTTGTATGTAGGATGAAAAGTGAGAGGGAAGTGAAGGGAGGGGAGGATGGAAGGGATTGGATGATCCATGTTGTTTGGTGGGGTAGAAAGTAGAGGAGCAACCCATGATTACAATTATTTTTCTTGTTTGTTCTCTTTCTTTCATTGGCTAACTAATTCCTTAAAATGAAAAAAAATAATAAATAATAAATAAATAAATAAACCTGAGCCCCCTCAAAAACTTGATGCAAATAGAGACTAACGTGCACTGGGAAGGAAATGGGTACCCTCTCTCTATGATTGTCATTCTTGTCCCCAATAGGTGTCCTACTTCAACAGTTTGACCTTCATACTATTTCATGCATTTCTAGATTTATAAATACTTCGCAATTTTAAAAGTTGTTCCTAAAGGGGCACAACGAATTCCTAATTTGCCTTGAGAGGAATAATTTAATTGATTCTATTATCACATTGGATGATTGTCTTTTCATTCATGCCCTTAATCCAATTTCGGATATGCTTATCTAGATCACATTAGTGCTTGAATCCTCTACATTGGGGACCATAAATATAACTACCAGCAATTATAGTCTTCTCTCCAATTGGCTTTTATTTATTTATTTTTTATTTTTTAATTAGAAGTATGCTCACTTTATAAGCCTGCTTGATGCGTGCCTATTGTTTTTACCACAAAGGATAAATGGATTTATTATAATTAAATAAAACTTTCATTCTTAGCAAAAGATACAAATTCATTTATCACACCATTATACACCCTGCTTTAGTTCTACGTACAGGAAATGTACCCTTCAATTCCCGGTTTCAAGTTTTCTTTGATGAAGCTAAAAATTTCGAAAGGGCAACAAGTTGACTACAGACCCAATGCTTATTCAGTTGCTCAAATAAATAACAAAATTTCAAGTAAAATAGATTAAAATACTCATAACTAAGATTGAAGCTCTGTCACATTAGTCTAACCCTATTATACATGTTGGTAAGCAGGGTGATGTTGATAACAACTTTTGTGGTTAGAGAAACAAAATATATATTAGAAGATTTTGATGGCAACAACCATCTGCCATCATGGGTTGAACTTTGGCAAAAGACATGAGAGTATCATCAGATTTGGGGGATTGAATGGCAATAGATAAAAACTTGAAAGAGACCGGAGCATTGAACGAGTAAGAAGAAAAGGGTCAACAATAACGTTTTTTTTTTTTTTTTTTTAAATTTCAAATTTTGTATTAGAAGACTATAAACAAATTGATCCTTGATGCTTTTAGTCTATGGAGGTTTGGGCTTTTTATACAACGATTTGAAACACACCATTGTTTAACTGTAACTTTTACTATAGTTTTTTTTGTCTTTTAGGTAGCTTCAACACACTGTTACTTTTGTGTCTTTGAGGTAACTTCAAACTTCACCGTAAGTAACTTCGCTGTAGTTTTTTTGTCTTTCAGGTAACTTTATTGAAGCTTCCAAAAATTTAGGTCTCAAAACAAATAACTAATTTTGATGCATAAATTTACATGCTTATTATGCAAATAACTTGGAAGCTGCAATGAAGTTATCTATTATCTAAAGTATAGAAAGTCATGGTAAAGTTATTCTTGAAGTTACTTGAAAGTAGAGTTACAAACAGACTATGATCTTCATAAACAACTTGTTTGACGCTTTGAGCTCAGCCCTTTTACTAAATGAACGAGGTTGAGCTAAATTTCTAAGCTCGTTCAATACTTGAGCTGAGCTCGAGTAAAGCCAAACTCAGTTTGAATAGGCTCATGAATACAAGAATATATTAATTAATATTTATTTTTAGTAATATACCAAATATAGTTTCTTTAATTTATTTTATTCTCCGTTTATGTATGGTGTTTATGCAATTTTGCATATTTAATTGATAAAATTTATTGATAATAAGAGCATTCGTTGATATTTTGCTGATAAACTTTTATTTTTCTTATTAATGTGCATTTAAGTTTATTTTTTTTGTACTAAATCTCAAGCTTGAGTCGTTTATGTAATCCAGTCGACTCAAGCCAAACTTGAGTTTCTCAAATCTTTGATAAGCTGAGGTCAAAGCTTGAACTTAGAACTCAAGCACCACAAAGCCCACTGTTAAAGTTACCTAAAAGACTAGATGCTACGTAGGATTAAGTAACTATTGGATAAGGCCATGTTTCAAATCTTTATGTAAAAGCCAAAAAGCTCCTGGTGGGAGTAGTCCTATAAATGGATTGGATTCAAATTGGATCTATCAAAATTCGAATCCGATTCGATTAAGGCAAACCCGAATCCAATCCGAATCCGTTCAACCCATATGTGATTATAGATATGCAAATCCAAATCCGATGATTTTGGATACTTGATTCGATAATCCGATCTGATCCATTTATTTATTTATTGAGCTGCAATTTTATATAATTTGATTTTTTTTTTCATTTTGTGTTTTCTTCATTCAAATTGAGAATAATCGGATTGGATTATCAGATCGGATCAGATTTTTGCATATTGAATCCGTTTAATAAAGGGATTCGGATTATCGGATTGCCAAATCGAATTTTTTGTAAATGAATTCAGATTTTCAGATTGGATTCGGGTCCGATTCGGATTAAATCCTATCCATTGACAACCCTAGTTGGGAGCTTTATCAATATACCAAAAGAGTCAAGTCTTATGCAACTTATAAGATCAATTCCTATATTTCATTTCATACCAACACCAAGTCTTTCAAGCCCAATCTCCATGGCGGCCACTCTATTGACACTAACTCAATGCCATTGGTCGCCCGTCTATGGCTTGAACTCGTGACATGGTGCTAGCTCAGCTTACTTGACCAATACCTCAAAAGACCCAAGTATCATGAAACATGAGCAATTAATTCCTAAATTATGCACAAATGCTACAGACCCCAAAAAAATTATCAAATATTTATATAATACTCTCACGAGTGTGGATCTCATATGGTGTTAGTTCCACACCCATGTGAGTATTGTATAAAACTTTTGATAATTTTTTTGAAATTCCTGACATTGCTCCATATTATCTCCCATACCTAATATAGCCTGACCCATGTCTTGTATCATTGGTTGGGCCGACTATGATAGTAAATTTCTGTATATAAACTAAAAGTATCAAAGATCAATTTGTTATAGTCTCCAAACACAAAGTTTGGAATTATTACTATTTTTTTTTCTACAGGAAAGTTTGTTAATTACTCTTGTTTTGACTGTTTTTCTTCTCCTTCTTGCTCATTCGATTCTCCATGTTTCTTTCTCCTCTAATTTAATGATACTACTATATCTTTTGTCAATGATCAACCCACGAAACCCTTCCTATCAATGATAATGGATAGTTATTACAGCCATAAACATCTCTCAATATCTAGTTTCTTTGGCCAAGAAAGGTATATATATATCAACACCCAACTTCTTACCAACACATGAGAGGTGTGTTTCAACAATTAAGAAGATAGTCTATATTTCGATCAAAAAGAAGATAGTCTATATCAAAACCCCACTTTGACTACTAGTGAAAACAACATTCTCAAGTATAGGATTTTGAGTTAACAGAAAGACTCAAGCATAGGATTTTGAGTTTAACATGGCAACTATATATAATTTGCAAAATGAAAAGGTAACCAATTAATCAATCAAACATTACCTGAAGGGGGTTGTATGGTGAAGGTGCATCTGACCCATACAAGTCCCACTGGCCAGTTGTGTTGCCCAGATCCTCCAAATCAAAGTACACACTCTTGTCCCCATATTTGGCCACCACAGCACCAGCTCTATATATCACACAACACAACAGTGGTAAGTTTACACAAAGCTTGATTATTGATTTAAGGGTTATTTTACACTAATGGTCCTAACGTATATTTGTGTTACACATTAATTCTAAATTTTTTAATTGTTTCACTTTGATCTATAAAATGTGTGATCTTTTACACTTTACTACTTGATTTCAGCACGATTCAAAATCAGTAATAGGAGGAGGCATATTTTTGTAATTTTACATGATGCCTCAACAAAATAAACACACGGTCTTAAAGACTACCTTTTTTAGCATTGTGGTTTTTAAAATATGATATTTTGTTTCATTTTAATCTCTATGAATTTTATTGCATTTTGTAGTTGATTTTATGAGATTTTATGACAAAGTTATAAAATTTCTCTATAAATGTGTGATGGGTTTTTTTTTTTTTTTTTTTTTTTTTTTTTTTTTTTTTTTTTTGTTACCTGTAGCTGGTGGATCTCATGGGCTGGCGAGATGGCTTGAGGTGGAGCTTAGTGCCGGCGATGGAGCTTCCAGAAACGCTCTTGACAGCGGTGGGTTGCACGGCGGCGAAGGTTGCTAGAGATGCCATGGCCTTTTTCTCCTGAAAATTGCCAACCAAACTACCACTACGACTACTACTTGTTTCTCAGTTGGCAAATTGATTGTGTGTGTGTGTGTGTGATGTGAGGGAGATATGTTTGGGTTTTTTTGATACTTTTCCATGGATATTGACGTGCCACGTGGCGAACTGGGTAATCCTGACAGATATATGCAATACATCTGCCTCTTATGAGGTGCCACGTGGATAAGAGCTGGATAACCCTATCCCTTTCAAGATTAGGATCAGGGTTGTCTCCTGTTCGTAACCCGGCTAGAATGTACTGTTGAGCTCATAGGTCTATCATAGATCTAATTTTGATGATTCAAACCGTTAATATGTAGGGTCTGTCGTGTATTTCATCTTTGTAAAAAATCATGTTGATCAGATATCGATAACTACTTGATTATAACATATTTTTGTCAATAGTAAATATAATTTTAAAAATAAAATATTGACAAAAACTTATTCTGATCAAGTGGCTATTGATATCCGATCAATATAATTTTTTGTAGAGATGAAATGCTCGACAAATTTTACATATTGACGATTTGGATCATCGAAATTGGACCTGTGATAAGCTCCACAAACCCAAACAATTTGGTCAATCCACATGTACTAGAGGCAATCTAGATCCTTAAGATTATTGGTGATTTATGAAGATCAGAAATTATTTAGTGTAACGGTAACATGATGTAAAATAGTGTTAATAGTCAATTAAAAGTTACAAATATATTAAGTGATCAATTCTTATCTCTTAATAACTCAGCAATTGTGTGGTTCTTACTGCAAATTAATTATATTCATTATATGGTAATATCACCCCATGATATCACTGCTACATCTAATGTTTATTCTTAGAGGAGCTATTCTGATTGATGCTGCAACAAATTTAAATACATAGAGCCCAAACTCAGAATAGGATATAGATGTCTCACAAAGAATATGATCCTCATAATATGATACTCACATGTGAGACTTATTCATTGGGTCCGTTTGTTTTTGGGGATAAAGGAGGTGATTGAATTAAGATAGATGTAGGACTCATTATGAAACAATTCCACCAAACCTAACTCTAAAAGCAAATGGGCCCATTATGAAACGAACATGGAATTGTAGTTGCGATTCTTCATGGGGGTTGACACCGGACTTGTTCTTATAATATGAACTGTTCATAGTATAGTGGTCATTGAGCATATCATCTATACAAAAAGTTTAGTCAACCATTTCTAGACCCAAGATCATGTCATTATTTTAAAAAAAATTATCAAAGTTATGTTAATAGTTTATTTATTTTTTTATTTTTTTAAAAAAATGCTCTTGTTATGAGGCTGTAGATGTCTAATTAATTTGGTTTTTTATATGGATGATCTACTCAATAAATTCTACAATATGAATGATTTGAACTATTGAAAAAGACTCAGAATGAGCCTCCCAAAGAACTCACAACAACATCTGCATATCTTTATATCTGTGTTGGATTTATGTGTTATTAAGACTATTGATTGAAATAGGGCATTGTCCCATTGCACAACCCTATATATTTTAGGTTATTTCAGAGTAATACACTCTAAACTTATATTTTATAAACTTAAAATATGTAATAATTTATCAAAGCTAGTTTCACTCTATTGTAGTTCAGCCTTTGACCTGTTTATTTTTTGAGTCCCCGTGTATAGATTATCAATGTGAAAAATCACGTTGATTCGAGAACTATCACCACTTGATTTTATTATCTTAATATTCAAAAAATATAAATTAATTGTCTCTCTTCAAAATTATATTTGTCATCCATTATTTTGAAAATAAAAATGATAAAATTATTAGATTAATCTAAGTCTTTGCATGAATTATCTACACAAAGGAACCAAAAAACTAAATAGAATAAATCGTTGACGGTGGACTTGTGGCAGGCCAAATGGATTGAACTCGACTATCTAGTTAACTAATGCGAACTAGAAAGTAACCAAACCCTTTACCCAAAAATATAACTATTTTATATTTTTGACATAATTACATTGATCACTCATTTAGTAAATTTAAAATAATCAAAACTAACGTAAATAGTACGTAGACGCTGAAATAAAGATAAATATATATTTTAATAGAAAATTGATGATAACATTTTTTTATGGGACATTTACACACAAGTCCTAATTTATGGACTTATACACCATTAAGTTCTAACTAAGATTTTTTGAACCTTCAAGTCCTATTAAATTTTAAATAGTTTAAATTACCCTTCAAATAATGATTGTTCATCATTTATGATTATCTATAAAGGAACAAGATGATTTGACATTTATTTTGATTTTCAAAACTTTAAAACATCAACTTTCAAATTGACAAAAACTTTAAAAATATATATATATGTGCAAAAAATAAATAAATAAATAATGTTTTTTTTTTTTGGAAAAAAAATGAAAAATTGGATTTTTTTTTTGTGCAAAACTGAAAATTTTTATCTATAATGTGCAAAACTTACAAAAAAAAATTAATATTAAAATGAAAAAACTGATAATGTTCTTAGTTTTATTGGATAATGTTGAATCAAACCAATAAGTAGAAGGGTAAAAACGTATAATCTCATGCTTTGTTTTTTTTTTTTCATCAGTTAGTGTATAGTGATTCTGGTTTAGGCCCAACCCATATTGTATTTCGGACTCGGATTTCATGGTTTCGTATTGTTGTTCATGTCTTGTTTCCCTTGTACTTCCTTAAATTTGGCTATTGGATTGTTGTGGTTGTGTTTGGAATAGGTTGGTTCCTTAGTTTTCAAACTCTTGTTGCCCAGAATTTTTCTCCTCCGCTCGAGCGACACTTCTTGCACTCAAGTGGGATTTGAGAACTCTTAGGATTTTTGTAGGTCTACAAAACTACTAGGAGAGTGTATTCTACACTCAAGCGGTTCTTTCTGCACTTGAGCAGGCTCAGCTCGAGCGACCTTTCTTGCGCTCGAGCGTTGGTCTGTTGTTTGCAAAACTACACTCGAGCAGTTCTTTCTGCACTTGAGCAGGCTCAGCTCGAGCGACCTTTCTTGCGCTCGAGCGTTGGTCTGTTGTTTGCAAAACTACGCTCGAGCGGTTCTTTCTTGCATTCGAGCGGGCTTAGCTCGAGTGTCGTTTATTGTGCACAAACAAAACGACTTATTATGTCTGACGCTCAAGCGAACTGTGCGTATATCAATTCGTAACAAGCACTTTTTACATAACTTTTTCATCTCTTTCTCTCTCTCTAAAATATTTCAAAACCCTAGATCTTGAGCTTCTCTCTCTAAAACTCACATTTTCTCTATATTTGCACCTAGATTTAGTGGTTTCTCTACTCTACTCCCTTTGATAAAAAGGTAGAGCGTCTCAAGGGCTACATTTCTATCCGAGTAGAGTTGTGTTTAAGCATCTTTGAGGTTTCCTCTTTGCTTTGCTCCCCTTCTAGCTTTGAGGTAGAAACTTTTTACACTCTCCAATGATTTTTAATTTAATTATTTATTATTGTGTAAATAATGTTGGGATTTGGAGAATTTTAGACAAACCTAGGGTTTTGGTTTAAAATCTAAAGGGATTTTCAAATGAAGGTATTGAAAATGGTTATGTGTATAGATATAAGGTTGAGTTGTGTTAAACTTGTTGATTTTGACACATGGGTTGGATTTGGGAGAGAATGAAGCTTTACCCTAAAATAAAAAAATGTTTCAAATAATTATTTTGTATAAATAATGAAATTGGTATTGGGAATATGAAATTAGATGAATGTTTATATAAATCGTAGAGTCGGATGTGTATTATCTCTTACCTATGGAAATTTGGATAATTTATCTGTTTTGGAGATTGTATATCTGTTTAGAAATATCTGTTTTGGGCTATCGGTAGAGGATTGCCATAATTGTTGTAGAAATTGCATGAATATTAGGTGAATTGAAACTAATCTCTTAATTGTTGTCATTGAATATGACTGTGTTTTAATACATTGTATATGTATGATATTTAGGAGAAGAAAAGGGATGTACACCATGTTTGGGAGAAGAAAGGTGATGAACTCCATTGAATTAAGTTGGCCAGTGTGTCCAGGGTGAAAGTCTCGAAAACCACGCGTATACATGGATGTTAATTTTCGAGGACAAAATTTCTATAAAATGGCAAATTGAAGTGTTTATGTAATGGTTGTATTAATTAGAGAACCATTGAGTTGTAGCCTCAGTTGTGTTGTCTAGATAACAATGAATTTGACTCATGGATTGAAGTGAAATGAATTGACTTGAAATGAATTAAGATAAAATAGATTGAGATATAAAACTTGACATATTATGAACTTGTAAAATATAAATGACTTTACCATAAGCATTGTATATGTACATCACACTTATATCTTTATTAAGATTCATATATTGTGTTAGATTGTTTCTACTGGGTTTTGGCTTACCTTACTTGAAAAAAAAAAAAAAAACCATTTCCAGGTGCTGGTGATATGCCTCTGCCAAGGACTTTGCTTGAGAGGACTGTGGAGCTGAAGGCTCAATTTCTGTTTATTTTGTATTTACTTTCGAGCCTAGGGCTTTATTTGTATTGAGCTTATGACTCATTTTGTTGTAACCAAGCACGGTCTTAGAAAGATGTCAGCCTTTAGGGCATATGAATATTTGTATAGCTTTCATTCTTTATTACGTCTTGTAACACATGCTGTAGATTCAAGATGAACGATTTATGAATATATATCGTATTTGTCATATTTTGTATATTAACTCTGATTAACGAAAACTTCTTATTGTACCTATATCACTTTGTAGTGGTGTTTTGGAGTTAGATTATTGTAATTGTTTTTGGGGTGTTACATAGTAAAACAATTATTTGAAATATTACTATGTAAAATTGATAACATTGCTATTTTTTAAAATTAGAAAACACTGATAATATTCTTAGTTTTACTAAATAAGATTTATTAGCTCAAAAAACTTAGATAGGACCTGACTTACTATGACATTTATAAATAGGACATTTAGGTAATTAACTCATTTTTTATTATACAACTAACAAATTACTGAAGAAAAATGATTTAACTACTATGTAAATTAAAATTCAAGAAAACTAATGTAATTA